GTCAAAATGGCTGCTGTGAAAGAGTATATTAGCTTAACAGACTGGGAACAGAACTCATTTCCCCCTAACACAGCTAACAGTCTCTTGGCTCTAGCTTCATAGTTAAGGCTTATGAGGCAGTTGTCAATCTGATATTCCTATAAGTTAATAAATCAAATGAAAAAAATCATTTCTCAGAATTCTCAAATGGAATTTTATTGTTGGTAGTTTCTGGAATTCCATCACATACCTGCAGGACTGCAAAGGGTCAAACCATAAAGTTAAGAGTATGGTAGTACGCATTTTACAGATACTCTACAATTCACTTTCCTCAACCGTTCATTCCTCCAACTTGTCACTCGCTATGCGTCTGTGACCAACTACAGATTATTGCTCTGCTTTTCCGAGAGCCCCTTACACTGCTACCTTAAGGGCTGAGAACCGTTCAGCCAACATTTTACCTTCAGACTCATTTCCGGTCAACAGCTATCTGGAAGGCTATGGAGGAAAAGCTGCTTAAATCAATGTCAACTCTCCCAGAAAACGATGATGTAAATTTCCTAACTATTTATATTTTCTAGAGTTAGCCACTTAACATGCCGTTACTTTTGAAACACACCCTCTGAGCTGCGGCAGACAGAGGCCGTTTCCCCCCCAGATAACACTGGGAACACCGAACGTGAAAAGAAATAAAATAAAAAATAAAAAATAAATTCACAGGAGACAGGCAGTGATCGCCCAGTGTGCATTTCCATCTCATTCAATTCTCAGTCCACTAGAAAGTCCTGTCCCCATTTCCCCCACTATGGCCCCTCTGAGCCTGACTGTCCAATGAGTTTGTTGGGCGACGTGGAGAATGAGTCCCTCTGGGCACGAAGTCAAACATCAGGGAATGGTTGGAAACAAAACGTCCAGATAGAAGACGTGTAACGGCGATAAGATGGGGATGACTGACACTTTACTCTTGTTGCCACGTCCTTGGATACAGGGTGAAAGTCTTTGAGGTGGATGGCCAATGTCCTCCATAGTCATAAATATCCAACCTGCTCCCCCCCAGTCGGCTGAATGTAGGTGGAGTTGTATAATAATAGGGTGGGGGGTGGTGGGGGTGAAGCCGGCGTCCATACACACTACAGATCAGAGCAGGAGGAAGAAGAGGGAGTGTATGGAGGAGATCCAGGAGCTCAACTTTTCTTCATGGGCTTTTTAAAGAGCGGGGAGGTGACCGGGGATTGAGGCTCAGGCAGTATTCAGTAGGTCCTGTATGGCTTTCTGCTGCGTCTCGTTCAGTGTGGATACACACTGCGTCCATAATCCTGCTGACACCTGGGGGACACGACAAAAGCGTCAGCCTCTGAACAGCCACATACACACGGGTTATGTGCACAGTAAACACCACAACGTGTGTAATATTTGACTTAACAGTGAGTTTAACAAGAGTTTGTGATCCTGTGCCTGTCAATAAGACTCCGTGGTGTATGTAGCAATAGTTACTAGATGGGTTGATTTCCACTTTAACTGCAACAGACCGTTATCTTTCCATAATATTTCATAATCATTTTCTTTATTAATCGATGAGTTGTTTGGTCAATAAAATGGTGAAAAATTATTTTTTGTCCCCCGAAGCCCAAAGTGAATGTCTTGTCCACAACACAAAGATATTCAGTTTACTGTCAGGACTGAACACCATCTGGCGCTGGTCGAATTCAAACTACTACAGAAATTAAGTGTAATGTTTCCTCTATATTTACACATTTGAATTCATTTAAATTGTAAAAAAAAAAAAAAAAAAAATTTAAACTTTGAAAAAGTGACAGCCCCAGCTGTGATCCAAATCCAGATGTAGTTTCTTGGTGCAATGATGGAGTGACGGCTCACCTGTACTTGACGGATGACATTCGCCAGACGTTTGCTGCACGCGTCTACAGTCTTCACCGATTCGTTTGCAACTCCGTCTGCGATGATTAGGAAGATTTTGGGAAGGTTGGAGTTGTCTGGTCCGAGGACAATGGGGTTGTTGCTGTGAAGAGAAGACAAAAGTCAGCAGGTACGTTCATGACCGATTCAAATAGAAAATCATTACACAGCCATTTCATCTCAAGAGTTGAGGGGGGGGTATGTGGAGGTACCTTTCAATGAGGTCACACAGGAAGTCAAATGTGTGGACGGCCTCCTCTTTGTCCTCGTTGAGCGGTAGCCAGCTGAGCCAATGGGGGAGGATCTCGTTAACGTTTACGCACTCTGGCCGAAACCTCATGACCTTCCCAACAGCAGAGATGCAGTTCTCTGTAGCGTTGACATTCTCCTTGGAGCGCGAGTCGGCTGCCTGGATGACTCTGACCAGCACGGGGATGGCCTCTGGACCGGGACAGACACAAAGACATGTGGTGAACTAAAGGCAATAACCTGCCACCATCTCCAGTGCAGACCGGTGCTGGACTGTACCTGTACAGAACGGGCGGTAGCGCTCTCCTCCGTACTGAGCCATGACACCAACGCCGTAGGCGGCCGCCTGTCGGACCTCGGGGCTCGAGTCGCCAAGTGACTGCGCCATCGGCTGCAGGAAATACTCGGCGTATTTGAAGGAGGAAGGGCTGCAGTGCTCCACCACATCGTCAAAGATGCACAGACCCCACTGTCTGTCCGCCCACGGCCTGTTGGGACACTGAAGACCAGACAGACGAGGTTAGTTATTGTTGAACTCATAAAAAGATTAAAGATCTTAAATTTACTACCATTATAATGCAATTTAAGGCCCATTTCACATCCATACCAGCAAGTAACAGCACAGATATCTGGATTGGTTAAGTGTGACACCGTCTCGTGGTTCACTTTAGATTTTCTCATCAGATTTATGGGGAACAGATATTAACTTGCATTCCAGCACTGATCTGAAGACAGGAAGTACTTACTATTAGCTGAACGATGAGCTGCAGCAGCTGTTCAAACCAAGGCAGCACCTTCTCTTTGTAACTACTGAACACAGAGTGCAGGATATCCGACACTTTGGTCAGGATGTACACATCGTTCTCATCCTGGGGGGAAACAAAGGGCAAGAAGAGAGAAAATAAGGTTTCAAATTATATTTTTAGAAGATCTCACGGTCACCTCCAGCTCCTTTACTGAGGAGAAGATGTTTACCTCATCTTGTAATGTTTCCTCCACCTGCTCGTCATAATCTTCATCCTGTCTCTTGGCTGTGAAGGACAAAAGTGTTCTGTTAGGATTATGCATATACACACACACCGTGGACTGAGCTTGTCATCACAAAGTCATGCCAACAGACACTGGGATGTTGTCATGGGGCGATCATATGAGGTCTGGTGTGCCGGTTTGAAAACTTTGACAAGTTATTTGCACAGAATCCATTAGTGTTTTGTGGTGCTGGACTTCTAAAATGTATTCTGTGTTTATAATGAAGTCTCACCCTGTCTGAGCTCCTGGTTCTTAAAATGCTCCTCCAGTTTTCCTTTCAAGATGCCGCCCAGCTCCTCAAAATGCTCATTGTTCAGACAGCCGTCTCCCATCAGCTCAATGCACTTCAAACGGAAACAAACTCCCATTAGTGAGGTCAGAAACAGCACATGGGTCCTAAATCCTATTAAAGACATCCAAATCTTCTCAGACAGCGGAAGTGCTCGCAGGGAATACGTTACCTTGGCAAAGGAGTGCATGATCTCCGACAGGACGTCGGAGTCCGGCTCAGTACCGATGGACTTGATGAGAGCGTCGCACATGAAGTGCCACATCTGGGTGAGGTACTCTGGTCCTCGAACCCGTGCGCACTCCAGCAGCAGGGGCATGGACTCTGCTGCAGCCACCCGCACGCGTGAGAAGGTTAAGGAAATAGTCATAAAGCTCCATTCACACACACACACACACACTTTCCCCCCTTAAACCACTCCAACATTTAAAAATATTAATCAGTTATTTAGGACTAATAAGTTATTTCTAGACAGTTACTGGTCATTTTTGGTCACCATTTATAGGTCAAAGGTCAAAAGGATATCATCGTGGAAGTAAAACTTGAGTAGAGGAACCATCAGCTTCACCACCTGCTCCGTGTACTCCACGAAACCCTCCTTCAGCTCTTTGGCGTAACACACCTAGAACACAACACAGACCGTCTCAGAGACAGGGCGCATGCACCAGCAGCGAGCCCAATATCTAGATAATGTCTGTACGGCAGCGCTACCAGCTCTGCCTCAGACCCCCCTTCTGCTGTAGTGGACTAGACTACTCACCAGCATCTGGCAGGCGGTGGCCTTCTCCTCCAGGCCGGCTGTCTTGATGCCAAAACTCTGCTGGTCTCCCAGGTTGACAAACTCCCAGCCGTCGTCCTCCGATATGTTCTCCATGTCCTGGGCTACAAGGCAGAGACAAACATTCATTTATATAAATAATGCAATCCTATTAGACAGGAAGGGATCTCTGCTTTAGTCTACAAGTTGTTTTAACTACTTTGCCATTTTTAATACATAAAATTGTACATTTTGTTTTTCATGTGAACCTACATTAAGTCAATTAAATGTCATTTAACAAAGAAGCAGAATTAATGATTCATTTGTGGCTTATGTTTTGAGAATAGAATTAAACATAATCAACTATTGTTGTGCAACTGTAAAGTTTAATGTTCATAAAAAGGGGAATAACACTGGTGGCACGTCTGAAACTGTGGCTCTAGAATGTTGATATCAAGAAAGCTGCAGTCAGCGCTGCACTAGTCACAGCTTTTGTAAACTACCACTGTTGTGTTACTTACTGTCGAGCAGGGCCACCTCCGGCTTGATGGAGGCGGTCTTCATCAGGGGGCCCATCACCACAGGCAGGTACTGCTGAAACTCCTTCCCCAGGATCTTGCACATCCTGGCCCAGGCTGAGATCATGTACGAGATCTAAACCACAAACAAAAAAGGTTGAGTGTAAAGCGGCGGGGACTAAAACACCGGACATTTCGGTGTTACGCTCAAGTGTTCCTACCTGCGGATCGTCATCCTCCAGGTCATTGAAGTCTGTCTGGGTTTTGAGGAGCAGCTGCATGACGGCGGAGGCATCTGGCATGAACTAGTGACAGAACAGAGACAGACGTGAAGATGTGCAGTGTGCAGTGAAACGGCTCCCGTCTTAACACCTCACTGGATCTCATTTGAGGACACCCAGCGCGGACGTACCTTCTCCTTGCCGACAGCCAGGCCGATGAGGCTGATGCACTCGATGGTCTTGCCGCGCAGCAGCCGGAGCTCTTTCTGCACGGCGTTCTCTACGATGTGTTTGAGCGAGGGCATGAACAGGTCGTAGTATGGCACAAACTTCTCCTCGGCCGTGTCAGCCACCGAGGCGATGGACGTCACAACCTGCTCCAGGACCAGTTTGGTGCCCTTCTGGATCAACTGAGAGGAGAGGAGGACACATTCAGGACTGGCTTAACAGACTGGTGGGTTTTATCTTTTGTAAGTGTAAGGATTCATCTGTACCTCTTGCAGCTTGGCCACCATGATGACGTGAAGGTGCTGCACCAAGCTATCCAGGTAAGGGATCAGCAATGATTTGGGACAGTCCTCTGTAAAGTTGATGAGGGCGGCGGCAGCGTGCGCCTGCACCCGAGGGTTACTCTGGTCCTCCATGGTCTGAAGCAGGGCTGAAATCACCTAGAGGGGAGGAGGACCCAGGGTCAGTCTTAGTGCACGGCAGTAAACCTTTAACACTGGTTAAAGCTCGCAAAGGTGAACCTGCTACAACGTTCACAGCTCCACGTGTCACTTTAGTTACCTTATCGTGGAATTTCTTTTGGAAGGTTGGGGCGAAGTCTGTGGCCATTTGTCCAATAGCGTTGCAGGCAGCATAGCGTACCCTTGGGTGCTGAAGGGGGAAAGCAAACCAAGTTCATAATCATCATACAGGATCATAACTGCTGCGCACACACACACAAGTGCGGTAACATTAGTAACCCAATAATAAGTAAGGGATAAAAGACTAGACCATCCATCCCACCATGTTCTGTCTTTGTATTACATGATAAAGTTTAAGGGAGTTTTTCTTACAGGATCGGAGCAGAAGAGGAGAACAAAGCTGACAATCTCCTGAAGGATGGCCTCCATCTGCTGGTGGCAGCCCTCACCGATGGCCGACAGCGCCATCAGCCCGGCATGGCGGTACTTCCAGTCAGCTGGTGACAAACACACTGGGTTGATTCTCATGTTCACACTGACCCATGGGAAAAACTTTACTCAATTATGTTTTACTGGCAAACAAAATACAAAGGATATGAAGGAAAATAGGCATTGGTTCCATGCTGCCTGTTTTGTACTTGTTACAGTATGAGACTGAAATATTTAACTATACAAGTAATGAGAACTTCATTAATCCAATCCATTTTTAAAGACCTGTCACAATCACATTTAAGACATTTTAAGACCTACAATTCTGATTATGGGTTTACTTACGGTTCTGCAGCATCTGCATGATGTGCTGTTTGATCATGGGCAAAATTATCTTTCCTCCCAGGCCGCAGGCGATTCTGTCAAGAGCACTCTCCCCAGCCACAGCGTTACTGGTGGAGGACAAGGTACAGTACAAGTCAAACCAGTGTATGAATATTTTCAAACCTTTGAGCACTAGTACCTTTGTTAGAATAACTTTTTGAGCTAGTCTTTTAACATACTATTGCAAAATACAGTTAGATCCTTGAGGAGATCCTTAAGTACCAGTGATGTCTCAGGTGTAAGAAATCTGCCAATAGGCAGAATAAAAACTCTTGCAGTGGTGCAAAAGGCCCAAAATGTTCTACACTGAAATACATTTTCAAACAAAAAGGAACTCATCAGTTCAGTGGTGCTTGGCAGGAACATAATTCTGCCAACTCCAACCCTCCATGACACACCTTTCACATTTCTGCTCTACCCTCGAACAATCACTGGTGAGGACAGAACTGTGGCTGCGTGTCTTACCTGTCAAAGTCATCGTCCTCCAGCTCATCGGCCATGGCCCACTCATCATCGTCCTCAAGGTCCACCATCATAGCCAGCATCTGGGGCACTGAAGAACATAAATACTGAAATTGTCAAATCAGTCTATCCAACTTCTTTAGGTGCCCAAAATGCATCAGGGGAATAGTTTATTTAATTCATGGTGGAGCAATTACTCACCACTCTGAGCCACAATGGCTGTGTGCTTCCTCAGCATGGCTGCTGCAGTCTCAGATAGGGTGACGATGACCTCCAGTGCCAACTGCCTCTGCATGTTGGTCAGGTTGGAGTCGGCACACAGCTGCAGAGATGTGGCAGTGTGTCGGTCAAAATGTTTCAAATACAGTCAGACAAACTAAACAAACCTTTAAACAAATCTCAAGAAATATCAACAAAACAGACTTTTGGTTTCATAGCGATGGCAGTAGTTAGATTTTCCATCTTGGCGCTCTGACTCACCTTCAGGCAGAGCTGCAGAGTGGCCTCCAGGTTGGGTCTCAGGTATTTGGGTGCTGTGTCTGCAATTTCCACTAAGGACTTGAGCACAGAGTCGTCTGACTGGTAGCACGACTCGTTCACTGCCTGAGTAAAAACAGAAGCCGGGTCAGTGTCACAAATGCATTCATTTAGCTGTGGCGTGCTGCTAATGCTGAATTTACAACGTCCCCACATTCTAAGAGCTTAACCTCCACCTCGCCCATCAAGAGTCACTGACAAGAAAGCACTCATTAAATACTGGTGCAATAGAGCTTAGTAAGGATGCTCAAACATTCATAGCTGTTGTGGAATGACAACAGGATTCAATGTAATCAACATAACTTAGACTGATTGCCAAGTGGTCGAGAAGCCACTGGGATTCTATAATTACTGCTGGGAGGAACAGCTACCAGTCCTGTCCAGTAAACAGTTTGCTAACAGAACTTCTTCATTCTGTCTTCAGTGTCATCTTTATATGGCCTGACAAAGAATGATAAGACACGCTACATTCCTCAGAAAAGACAAACAAGCAGCCAGTAAACACTGTAGCTCTTACTTTGAAGTTCCATCTTCCATTTGCAGGTATGTTTCCTTATTTACCTTCCACCTACTGAGTTTATATATCCATGAACACATTATAGAATGAAACAAACCCCCCACAAAAACAGCTCCAAGTCAAAGTTACTCAACAGGCCGTCATTTTCACCTGCGCCTTTTACATTAGCTAATGCATCCATATCAGACAATAGGACGCAACATTAAGCTTGCATTAATGGTCTGAAAGGGACACGTCTACAAACTTTTACTGGCTACTTAAAAGCCTTTACTGGTTCAAAGGATTACATTCAGGCATCACACAAAACACTACTGTGCGACAAGCTCCTGAAACATGTGGGAACCATCAGATAGCAACCACAACTAATGGAGGAGAAAAGCATACGAACTGACTGGATCTCAGCCAGTTCACATGAGCCAGATGAGCAACACATGGGTCCTGGTATCTTACCTGCAGGATGCCTGGGAGCAGGTCAGCAAAATGCTTCAGCAGTGCGGTGTTGCTTTCGTTGGAAAGGACAAAGGATGCTGCAGCCCGAGCCGCCAGGGTACGAATCTGAAGGGTCATTTGAAGAAAATGAAGCGCATCGTCGTAGAAATCCAGATCTTACGAGATTTGATTTGTGGCAGTTACCTACCTGTGGGTTTGCCTGGTCCTGCATGCACTGAACAAGCATGCGCTTGATAACCTCCATATAATGCTGCTGCTGGTTGCCGAAGATTCCTGGGAAGTTCCTAAAGAGGCAAAGACGTACACAAACAGTCAGCAACCAGTCCTTCTGTCTGAACAACATGATGATGGGATGAAGTGAACAGGGGCTCACCAGAATATGTGCAGGGCAGCTTCTCGCAGGCCAACATTGTCCGAGTTCACAGAGTCGAACAGAAACTTGAGCAACTCTGGCCATTGGTTATTCCCATCGTCATCTAGAGGAGACATCCCAATCAAAGATTATTAATGTTCATCTTAATAACCTGCAACATTTTTATATCAATGAATCAGCCAACAATCCATTGTGGACCTGCAGTATCTCACAATAGTGAGTGAAATTAATACCCCATTTGACAACTTTGTCATAGTACAATTATATAGTGAGAGATTGGTTAAACATTTCCTAGCTGTAAAATGAAGGAGCATTACCGATGAGGTTGCGGCAGAGCTCGGCTGCAATGTCGCAGACCTTCTTGCGGATGTTTGGCGAGGTCTCCTGCTGGATGCTGGTCAGCAGCTCTGTCTTGATGACTGTCTGCATCTCCAGGGTCAGCCCCGGGTAGATCTCCTCGAAGGAAGAAGACAGCAGCCGCCGCAGCAGCACCGCCGCCATCTGTTTGACCTGGGTGGACAAAGCGCTGGTTTTAACATCAGGTCATGCCCCTCAACCATGTCAGACTTCTGACACTGTTCAAACGGTTCATTTCTGGTTTGGTCAGGCAAAAAGGATTCTTGGTTTGATTTGATCACAATAGGATTGTTGTTTGATCAAGCTTAAACTAAAGCCTTCCTTTGGATTGATTTTGGAAGTTTACAATGTAAATTCA